AATTTTTTTTCAATTATTCTATCTTGAGAAATGTTGAGTGTGTTCTTCCCTTTGGATTTTCCAACTCCAGGTATTTGCACACTCCATTATAATATTTGACACTGGAGAAGGATACCATGCTTGGTAAAGTGTAATGCCAACAAATAAGCAAAGACCCCCAACAAGGGGCCCAGTGGCAGCAGCAATGGGTTCAAGCTTAGCAATGATTGTGAGGATGGCACAGGACTGAGAAGTTTTTCTTACTGTTGTGCATAAGGTCACTATGAGTTGGAAGTGACTCAATGGCATCCAACAATGGCAACAACTTATAGTACTTACTATGTACTATTGTGGACTCTTGATGTGGTGCGATGCAGTCAATGTGCTGGACTGTAAAGTCATTTTGAACCACAAGGTCAGCAGTTCAAGCTCACCAGCTGCTCTCTGGAAACCCTATATAGGGTCGCTATGGGCTGGAACTGACTCAATGGCACTTAATAACAACAACAATGAACTGTTGTGGCACTGGATTGATAATGAAAATGTCAGTGTTTCTAAATCACCAACTACTCTTAAGAAACTCTATACAGGGTCACTATGAGTTGGAATAGACTCCAAGGCACTTAACAACAACAACAAGAACAACAGCACTTCCTATGTGCTGGGTACTGGTCTTTTTATGCTAATATACTCAATTTGTATATTCTTTATATACCAGTTTTCTCATTCAATCCTATTAGAAATATGAGATTTAAATAATTTGCTAAAAATGGCAGAGCTAAACTCTGGTCAATCTAGTCTGGGTTCTGAATCACTGTATTGTTGTTAAGTGCCGTGCAATTGATTCTGACTCATAGCGACTGTGTAATAGGGTTTCTAGGGAGTGGCTGTTGTGCTTGAGCAGCCAACCTTGTGGTTCAAACTGATCTTGCAGTCCAGCACATTAACCCCCCTGCCCCACCAGGACTCCTAACCAATATACTAGGCTACTGTAAAATATTAGACCATGAACTCAACTGGAGAACTTCTGGTGTCATTCTAACTTAGAAAAATGAAAGCAATCAAAGAATAGGATTAGAAATCATAGAACATTAAAAAGATGATCATCCCTTCTTTGGAGATAAGACTGAGATCCCAAAAGGTGACATGTTTTCCCTAAATCATAAAAAATCTGTGGCATAGCTGTGATCAAGTCATCTGACTTCTCACTGAAGCTACTAAGAGAGAAAATTGGTGGAACCAAGCCAATTTAATAAGTTCAACAAAGATGTAATTATTAGAAAGGAATGGACAGAGGTATCCTTCATCTGACTCAGAAAACATGTGAAAAAATTCTACCTGAGTTTTTTCATCCAGTGCTAACACAGTCAGTAAATTTTCTATTTAGTTATTTGAGAACAACTAAGTTTTCTTTGAAAGATAATTCTCTGGGGGAATTTTCAGATCGTATCACGAATTAAAACCTTTAATAAACTTAAAATAAAATCCTCATTGGACCATTTTCAGTAGAACTAGCTACCCAGATTTACGTTTATATCTAAATTGGCTCTTTAGTCACCAGCACAGTGAGCATTTCATGGTGATATGCTGCCATCAACTGGATGATTTCAGTCAAGAGTAGTTAACTCACATATTATTCATTGTTTAAGATTTTCGGTTTCAGATTAATAGTTTGTCTGGGTTGCAATAAGGCAGGGTTTGTATTGGTGGAGATTGAAGATCAGAATGGGGCAGGAATAAGGAAGATTATATTGGGAGATTAAACTAAAGATTTCAATGAATCTAATAAGCACATTGACTAATTTAAACAACTAGATTGCAAATGGAAACTACCAGAAATGTGTTTCCTAATTACTATAAAATATATGTCCTAGAAGTATGTAAAATTTGGCATACTTACAAATATAGTAGCACAGTCCTCTTTATACAATAAATATCTAAATAAATATTTAACTTTTGAATTATAAAGTAGGGTCTTGTAGCCCATTTAAGAAATATTAGTCTGTACATTATAGAATCCATTTAAAAAAATCTGTAAACAGTAGTTTTTTCAATAAATTATCTGTAATTTTAGCAGTTTCTTGCCATACCCAAATGTTTTTTTTTAGATTGTCAAGGAAAAATCGGGAGATGTGGATCTTTGTTCCTACCCTCTTCCAAATTCTGTAGCTGAGACTCAGAGATTTTGCTCAGGGGCAATTCAAGCCATTAAGAACAGGGATCTATGAAGCTCTCCACAAGGGAACTAATTTCATTTGGATGAAAGTATAGGGTAAGTTCCAACCTAGTAGTGCATTAAAAAATAATCAGATTTTTATGGTAAGCAAATCAAAGGATGTTTGCAACTTCAAGAGAGTAAAAAGGTAAAACATAGGTCAGCTAGTGTATCAAAAAAAGTCACAGAAAGATACATGTCAAAAGTGTCCTTAGAATCAGATTCAGAATTAGCCCCAGCAAAGGGGCCCATGTTTAATAGAATCAAAGAGTGGAACAATATATATTTCAGGACAAGGTAAAACATAATACAGTCATCAACAGGTAATTAATGGAGTCAAAATGTTGAGTGTTACCAGTATAGGCAGACATCATAACAAAGAGATTAGTGGGGAAACAATAGCTAAAGCCATTGCCATTCAGAGGGACTGTGTGCATGTCAAAGTTACATACTCTTATGAGGTAAATAAGAGACTTTACATTGCAGGGGAATTAATTAGACTTAACTAAATAGACAAGTTACTAAACAAATAAACAGCAGTAACAATCCTAAGAAAACTATTAAGGAAAGAAGTTAAAAGTATGTAGCAAAGGAAACATTAAGGGAATAAAAATAAAAATACCAATGCAGTAATTGAGGAACAAATAAAAAGGTAAGACATAGAAAACAAAACAAGAAGTAAAGTGACAAATGCAAATCCTAGGTCCTAAGTTATACGTTATTACATTAAATATAAATGTATTATCTCTCCGATTAAAATGAAAAGATGTCAAAATGGAGAGGAGGGAAAAATCCAACACTATACAAAATATATCAAACTACTGACATGACATATGCAATATACATATGTATATTCTGTGTAGACGATATAAGATGTTTGAAGATTTAAAGACCCACATAGGATAAAAATCAAAGAATGGGGGGAAAAAAGCACCACACAAATGGTAACCAAAAGAGAGCTAGAATGGCTATGCTGATAACACATCAATAAACATTAAGAAAAAAATTAAATTGACTGCATCAGTGGAAAGAGATGGTAGAAAAGCTTCATCTCATCAGTCAGATCATAAATTGCTTATATGAAAGTTCAGAATGAAACAAGAAAATCAAAACAAGTCAACAAGAGCCAAAATATGACTTTGACCATATCCCACCTGAATTTAGAGATCATCTGAAGAACATATTTGACACATTAGACACTGAACACCGAAGACCAGAAGAGTTAGGAGATGATATCAAGAATATCATATAAGGAGAAAGCAAAAGGTCATTAAGAAGATAAGGAGGAAGAAAAAGATGAAAATGGATGTCAGAAGAGAATCCGAAACTTGCTCTTTGGCATAGAGATGTTAAAGTAAGTGGAAGAAAAGAGGAGGTAAAACAGCAGAACAGAAAATTTGAAAGGGCAGCTCGAGAAGACAAAGTCAAATATTATAGCGAAATGCACAAAGACCTGGAGTTAGAAAACCAAAAAGAAAGAACATGCTCAGCATTTCTTAGGCTGAAGGAATTGAAGAAAAAAGCCATGCCTCAATTTGCAATATTGAAGAATTCTATGGGAAAAATGGATTCCTGGTGTGGTGCTGCAGGCTAATGTGCTGGACTGCAAAGTTGTTTTGAACCTCAGGCTTGGTGGTTTAAGTTCACCAGGGTCTCTGTGGGTTGGTACCGACTCAATGGCACTTAATAACAAGAACAATGAGCAAAATACTGAATGATGCAGGAAGCATCAAAAGAAGATGGAAGAAATGCACATAGTCACTGTACCAAAAAGAAATGATTGATGTTCAACCATTTTAAGCGGTAGCATATGATCAACAGACTGTCAAGTCAGTTTGCACTGCAAAGTTGGTAGCTCAAGATTACCACCTGCTCCTTGGAAACCATATTCATGGTCACTATCGGTCAGAACTGACTCAATGCTACTTAACAACCATATTATCAAAAGCCAATGATACTGAAGGAAGTAATCTAAGGTGCATTGAAGGTATTGTCAAAGAACAAGTCATCAGGAATTGATGTAATACAAATTGAAATCTTTTAACAAACTGATGCAGCACTATAGATACTCAATCAACTATGCCAAGAAATTTGCTAGACAACTGCCTAGCCAATTGATTGGAAGAGTTCCATATCTGCACCCATTCCAAAGAGGTGAACCAACAGAATGCAGAAATCATTGGGTAA